AGGAACTGCCCTCTCTTGACTTTCTTCACAATTTTCCAGCCAAAGTCTACGTATAAAATATAATAGAGCCTACGCTGGGAAGCTAGCAGAAGAAGCAGAAAGCTGGGCATTTCCTGAAAGACCTTCCTCGTAAGTTCCAGGACAAAAAAAAGAAAATTTTCTCGAAAGACCAATATAAGGGGTAAACGTGATTCAATCGGTTTCTCTTTGAAGAACTTGAGAAGTATTTGTTCTGATAATCTCTTTCATATCATCAAGAGGTTTTCCAGTATTTGCTATAACCTTTTCCTATTTTCATGGCAAAGTAGCGAATCAGCTACTAATTTCCTGCTTTTGAAAAAAAAACTGCATTACCGAGAATTGCGAAGTCTTACCTGATCTATCTGTTGCTCTGATCGAATGCCTGCGCTGCAGTATTTGATTACTTTCTCGATCGCTCTGTGTTCCGTTGGCAAGCTGAAACTCTTCATAGTCCAACAAGCTATCACGGAAAGCAAGCATTAAGAGAATTCTGTAAATTAACAAAATTTAGACTTCAAGACTACAGCAAACTTTTCGTAGTTATTCTAATGAATAGGAAAATTTCCGCAGTCTCCATATACAGTACCGTCAACTAAAAGTTCCACTAGGAGAACTTTGACAGTATTTACAAGGACTTGTTTGGCATAATCGCACTTCGTTTCGCACAGGTACAATAGAGGAAAGGGTAGTTTCCATTGCGAAAGGTGGAAGATTTGGAAACAGCCCTTCAGAGTGGTGGGACCCGCTCTTGAATTGCTTAGTTCCAGCCGTATAACCGTATGTTTAGAGAACACAGATTTACTGCGCTCAGCTCATGGTAGAACTTCAAAGTGTTCTATACGAATTTGATCTGATTCGAGCCTTCCATAATCACTGTAAACCGATATCGAACCACCATCCGCCGTCATTCTTGAGGCTATTGGGGAATTGAAGAGGCCCCTTAAAGGGGATCCGGAAAAATCATGGGCTGCTATGCGTTCAAGTGCCCACGGACGTCCTTCGCAAATGCTGGCGACATTTCCTACTATTTCAGCCATAAATCACTGGCTTGAGACTCATTATCCACGATAAGAATGAAAAGAACAGAAAAATGCTTTTGTTTTGGTGAAAAATTCGAAAACTCGAAAAGGCTGCTACGCGTTCGAATTGCCCACGGACGTCTTTCACGAATGCTGGCGACGGGGATGCTCAAACTTGGTTCTTGGAGTGCATTCACTAGAAGCTCTTTCTGGCCTTCTGCTTCGTTGCATTCACATCTTACACTTCTACTCCATCCTATTCATCGATCGATTTGTCTCCACTCTCCGAAATCGCGCGCTTTAACCCGATTCTTTCATTGCGTCGCCTGATACGTAGCCGGCCAAAGGCCAACTTCTTTCCATGCCTCGCCTTTGGCTCCGCCCGAATTACCTTCGATTGTCCATAGTGTAGTTTTTGTACGTTTGTTTCTCTTCGGAAACCGAATCTTCATGCGTGAAACTTTGTGTGCTGTTTCCAGTGATCACAACTGACACATTCATGTCAAGAAAGAATGCAAGAATTTTCCGCGAAGGATTCCTTTAACAAGCGTATGGATGAGCACCGAAGTGCGCTACAAAACCCAGCCTCTTATGCTAACAGTGGCATTTCCGAGAATCGCAAGAAAACCCGCGTCTGGAGAATCACCACGTTGACTTCTGAGATATTTCATCGCCTCAAAGGAAACTCGGTGGGAAGGAACCTATTTGAAGCCTAGGGAATATGAAAATTATCGTCAAAAAATAAGGACAAACTATATGAAGCTCTACTACTTTGAGATTACCTATGTGCCTGATGCCACGGAATTCTTAATATCACATGCAGTGACCGTCACAGTACGTCCGCTACTATTTAAGCAGAGGGTGAGCGGTAGGTCACTTAATTCCACTCCAACGGACGCGGCTCCCGTAAGGGCAGCTAAATACTTGGCTGAGGCAGACACATGTGGGTGTCTATAGGGGGTTTGGGAATGCAGCAGATTAATTCAATGTATTTCGAGTCTGATAAATGTGTTACCCACCGAAATATTGCGGAAGATCCAAAGGAATTTTTTCCGAAATGTTTCTTGCGAATTTCAGATTTTTTTTTAGATTTTTTTGGAATACTTGGACTTTTTGTGAACTTTCCTTTGTGCTACTCTATTTCCTTCGGGAATTTCGGCCCATCTCATCTAACCTGTAGAATGGTAATATTGAGGCTAATTTCAAGAATACCTTTTGAGAATGTCCTCCCACCGTTCCAGGAGGAAATTGAACATGAATTCTTTGCCCACGGGATTTTCGGACACTGCGAGGAAAACGTCAGGCAGATCTTGTAGGCGAACAAACGACGAATTACGGTCCAAGGCCAGCAGAAGAAGTCTGAAATTCTACATAACATTGCCTCAAATTGCAAATATCATTCTAATATACAAACCAGAGTTTGTTTGTCAGTCCGCTCCCTTAAAATTCGCAATGTCCCCCAAATGTTTGTAATTTTTGATTCGGAAACCACTTAGGGAGGGCGGGTCAGGT